CGTTATTTTGTTCTCTGCAACAGGTACTACTGAATCACCAAGTAGTTGCACATCAAAGCGAGGTTGAAATCCGTAGTTAGCAAAGAAGGGAATAGTTTTAGTTGATAAGTGTATAGAATTATTGTAAGAAAATTTTGCCAGGTTGGCCTAGTCATCCTGATGATAATTTACGGCATATCTTAAGTATTGTTCTAGCACTTGGTTGACCTGCTTACTCTGTCTTTCTGACTGGGTGGTATGTCGATGATAGACTAACTTTGGTTCTCAAAAGCTTGAAAAGGTGTTTTCAGAACCAGAAAATAAATTGGTAGCCCCTGTCTGACACAATTTCATCTGATATGCCATAAAGGTAAACCACTTTCTGAAGCACCAATTTAGCTATTTGTTCTGCTGTGATATTCTTATAGCAAGCAATAAAGTGGGTTATCTTTGTTAGTTGATCTACTACTACCCAAACTGAGTCAAATCCTAATGATAGAGATAGGTCTGTTATAAAATCCATAGATATAAACTGCTATTGTTGGGAGGGGATAGATAATGGTAATAACAAACTATTTAGGCGAAGTCGCAGAAGTTTTGATCTCACACAAATATCACAGGTCTTAACATATTTTCGTATAAAAGATTGAAGATTGGGCCACCAATAGTCCCCAGTTACTAACTCAACTATTTTCATGGCTCCAAAGTGCCTTGCCAACTTGAAGTCATGCTGAGCTTGCAATATTTCAAGTTTTTCTGCTATTTCTGGTATATATAGTAACTTGGCTCTGTATTGTAACTCATCCTTGTATATGAATTTGTAATAATCAAGACGAAGCTTTCTTTAATTGTATTACTAGAGTTTAGATGCTTAATTACGTCTTGGGCTAGAGGGTCTGTTTTTATTTGTGAACAGACACATTCTTGTAAAGTAAGATCAAATAGTATTGTTGATACTGCATTTAAAAGGATTTTTCTGGTTTTAATAACACAGTTTGTTGGAAAAGACTTCTGTGACAAACAGTTTATAATCTGGTATTTGAGACAAAGTATCTACATTACCTTGATTTTTTCTTAAATAAAATATAATCTCAACTCATAGTTAGAAAGGAATATCGACCACCGGGTCTGATGTTAGTTAAGTGTTTAAGCTAAGATAAAATGTTAGAGGTTTTTGTGATCACAATATACTGTAACTTTGTGTTGGGTCCCTTTCAGATAGTGTCTCTATTGTTTAAAGACTATCACGATGGCTAAAAGTTCTTTATCATGTATATTATAATTTATTTCTGCAGAAAAAAATTTTTGAGAATAATAAGCAACAGGATAGAGATATCTATCATTTTGTAGTTGAGAAAATATAGCCCTAAGGTATAATCTGAGGCATTGGTTTTCAAGAAAAACTGTCTAGTCAGATCTGCATGAATTAAAATCAGAGCAATAGAAAATGCTTTTTTCAGCAATTCAAAGGCTTTATGCACTTCTATAGGCTATTTAAAATTTTTATTAGATTTACAGGTTAGGTTAATGATAGGGGTGACTAATTGTGAATAGTTGTTGATAAAATGCTGATAATAGTTTGCGAAGCCTAGAAACTGTTGCACTTCCTGAAAAGTTATAGAAATTGGTTATGAGAATAAATTTTCTACTTTTTTTAAATTCATTTTTACCCTTTGGGGGTGATTAAATATTCCAAAAATTCAACATAGTTTTTATCAAACTCACACTTTTCTAACTTTGTATACAGACCAAAATTACGAAGTCGTTCTAATACTAATCTTATATGAGAATCATATTTTTTAGGAGTGGAGGAATATATTAGAATATCGTCTAGGTATACCACACCAAACCTATCCAAAAAATCCTGGAACATATCGTTTATGAGGTGCTAAAATACTGCAGATGTGTTTGTAAGTCCAAATAGCATTACCAGATATTCGAAGTGGTCATAACAGGTGTGAAAAGCAGTTTTTTTTACTTATTTTCTAGTTTAATTCTAACTAAATTATAGATGTTTCTCAAATCAATTTTGGTAAATATTCAGGCTAAAGACAAATAGTGCAGCAACTCAGATATAAAAAAGAGCAGATATCTATTTATTATAGTAATTTTATTTAATCCATGATAATCTATATACAGTCTCAAAGATCTATCTTTTTTTTTGACAAAGAAAATGGGTGCTCTGGCAGGAGATTTAGAATATCTAATATATTTTTTGTCTAAATGTTCTTCAATGTATTTCTTTAGTATTTCCAACTCCAGTCCAGATAACTCATAGATGGGTCCCCATAGAGGTTGTTTCCTAGGCAATAGATCGATCGCATAATTGTATGATCTATATTCTAGCAGTTTGCTTGGTTCCTTTTTGTCAAACACATTACTAAAGTCTAAATACTTAACCAGAAGTATTGCTATAACCCTACACAAATTCATATTTACAGGACTAGCGTAAAAAATTTGTGCTATAAAGATTTATTCTTCTGTATCACATTGAACCTCGGAATAAGGTCTTCTGGTTAGTTGTAAAAGATGTGGTATGCAAGTAGTATTTGGAAAGTATAGAGTACGTTCTCGCCAATTAATCACAGGGTTGTGAGAAATTAGCCATGGTATTCCTAGAATTACCTGGTAGTATGGCGATGAAATTAGGTTGAAATTTATAAGTTCGTAATGCTCTTGGTACCAGAGTAGCAAAGGTTCTGTTTCGTGTATAACTGCTTCAGACGAAATTTCTTGACCGTCGATTACCTTTACCGTGAGCAGTTTGTTTTTTTTATTAACTGGTAAGTTGTGTTCTTGAGCTAAAGTAGAATCTAGAAAGCAGGCTGATGCTCCAGAGTCAATTAGAACATTAACAAAAAATTGAGTTTGGTTAGAGAGTTGCAAGGTCATTGGTATAGTAAAAGTGTTCATTGAGGTATATGTAGTTGTTGAGTTGGGGTTCTGGCTATAAGTTGAATCCAACTACAGGTCTCTTACTGCAGTTGGGGCTTCTCTTTTCCCGAAACATTCTCTGATATAGTAACAGAGGCATTAATTCTGTATCAGGCACCACTTTTTGTAGAACAGTTTCTGGCAAAGTACTCTGACTCACCACTTTCTCTTTTTCTTAACAGTAAGTGTTTTTAACCTTATTGCATCAATTTGTATAGGTTCAGAAAATAAGGTGATGTCATTGGAGATATTTACTAGGTGGTTCTAATTGGAAATATCAGTTTGCTGTTATTCACAATGATGTTTAAATAGTCAATTATCACAATGAATGGCCTTTGAGATAGAGAGATAGATCATCCATAGTGAGCAACAAGTCTTTTATATCATCCCTAAGTCTGGTTCTGAATTGATCGATTAAAGCTGCCTTCTCTTAATCTAGATCACTTAAAATTTGTCAGAATTCGAAAACGTAAGTTGATGCAGATTTGGAACCCTGGATAAGTTTTCTAATTTTGTTGGCTGCAGTTCTAATTTTATTAAGATCTCTAAAGGTGGATTTAAATTTTTCAATGAAGTTATTAAAATCAGAAAGCACTGGTAATTGTTTTTCCAGAAGTGGGGCAAACCATGCTAAGGTGGGTTCAAAAAGCAGACTTCCAAGAAACCCTATTTTGGTACTGTCATCATGATATCAGGTTGGCTGCAAATAGATGATTAAATGAACTTGGTTTAAAAACTCTCTAAACTTTGATTGATTTCTATCAAATTTGTCAGGAAGACTGACTTTGGGTTTTTTTATTTGACTAAGTTTGCTTGCTTTAAGCTGGTTTAACTCATTTCTGATACTTAAATTTTCTTTCTATAAAGCCTGATTTGCTTGTTGTATTTGATATAAAGTAGCCAGGATCCTATCAAGGTCAGGTTGTTTATCTATTTGCATTTTTGTTTGTTTTGTTTATTTATTTATTTATTTTTTTTAGGTAGCTAGCTAATAAATCTTAAATAAGATGGCTTGTAGGAACTATGTATAAATTATTGTTATTGAAATGAAGAACAGGCTTGTTGGTTGCTATGATTTTGGTATTCTTAAAAAAACAGAAAATAGTAGTCTGCTTAAACTATAACAAATATGATGATTAGCACAATTTGTAGACAGAGAGAATAGTATGCAAGACTAGAAAAGGAGTTTTATTATATTGTATTAAGCAGACTAGTTACTACACACATAGGTTTGTATTATTTTTTTTATATTTTCGCTCAAGTGCTATTAACCTGATTACTAATACTAACTTATTATGACATAATTTATATGCATGAATTGTTTGACTAATTTCATTTCTATATAATTTATGCGACTAATTATTTTTTGACTACCTACAATTACCTACTTATTGTTAAATCAATTAATGACTATATTTCTTATATATCAGAGTAGAACTAATTAAGTTCTGGGGTAAGTTCACGGGTTGGGATTACAGGCTTGGATTGTAGTCGGTCTTGGTTGGATTACAGGATTAGGATCACAGGCTAGAGTCGTGATAGAAGTACTGAGCTTGGCTTGGCCATGTAACTGTGACAAGTATAGCAATTGGTGGATAACTATAGATAGAAATAGATATAGTAAAGCTCTTAATTAAGCAGCAACTAAAGTTATATATATGACTAATTGTACTCTTGTTAATGTAACAAAGTTAAGAAATACCTATTCAGTATTTTGATATTTGAACTGTGAAGTTAATAAACTATGCCAAATCTCAAAATAGTCACCTTAATATTAAAAAAAAATTATTCAAAAAATCAAAATATATATATTTTAAAAGTTTTATCTAAATTAGACTATATATTTTTGTAAATTATTTTTGATAAATTTTTTAAAATTTTTTTATATTGAAATAAAAATTAAAAGTAAATTTGAACTGATGCAAATTACTAACTCTTTCCAATAATCACTTGTACCAAACTTTTCTTGAAAACACTTACTGTTATTAAATATTTTATTAAGTAAACTACCTTTGGCTATCTAAGTAAAGTTGTTCTACTCTTAATTTTATTTATAAACAGTTTAGTTTTATAGCTCTAAAGTCTTTTTTTACAGAGCTATAACTATATTTCTAAATTTTTGTTTTTTCTGGTTTACTTAAAATTTTATTAAGTAAACCTCTATTGCTTCTTAATAAAAAAAGATTTAGTTTAATAGTAGCTTTATTTTGATATATAATATATCTTAAACAAACAAAAATTACATATTTTATAACCAAAATACTTCAAAACTTTGTTACAGAAACTGCACTTTATTTTTGTTAAAAATTTTTTATTTTTTTGGGAGATTCTGCTTTTCTAGAATGCCTAAACTTACAGATCCTCATTACTAATCAAGATTATTAATCAACTTACATAATTTAGCCTCTTGTTATATCTATTTTTATACAAAAACCGGACTTACTTTTTTGATTTTAGTAAATTTACACAAACTCTGCCTTTTGCCAATCTTATCGATCTGTTTAATATAATACTAGATTACACCTTACCGTATAGTTCCGAAAATAAGCACCCTTTTTTTGCATCTAATGCTGGCCAAGATCATCATAATGCAGGCTAAAATTGGTTTAGTGCGGGCCAGGGGTGCTTATTTTTGGGGATGCTTATTTTCGGAACTATACGGTATTTGTTATACTCTTTATTTGCCATATTCTCTTATTTGTTATACTTTTTATTTGTCACACTCTCTTATTTGTTATATCTCTTTACTATTTTTTCACTAGTATCATGCCAACTTTAACCCTATCCAAAGAACCAGACTCCTATAACATATACTATTATTATTCTAAATATCAAGACCGCTTTGGTATTGGTATGAATAAAAACAAGTCTAACTCATTTAAAGTTCTTTTATCTTGCTTTAAACCTGAAAACTGTGATGTTCAAAAATCTTCTAAAAAATTACACTATTTTCAAGTACTTATACAATCTACTATCAGAACATGTTATTGCAAAAAATACTATACAAGTTTTATCTTCCAATATTACAAATTTTCCTAGTCAACTGTAATTAACCAATCTTAATCTCAGACTATCTCTTCAATCTCCAAAAATCAATTTAAGAGAATCACTGAGAAACTACTTGCTTCTCTAATTACTAAAATATATAACTAATCTGAACTATCTCACATTAATCCAAGAATACTATTTCTGAACTTTTAAACTAATAACACTCCTATAGCTATTGTTCTCTACTCTCAATATTATCACATATGCTTTATCTACAAAATTAAAAACATCTCTTGTATAGCTACAGAACAAAGTAGCTATGCTCCAGACTACTCAGTAGCTTGTATTTTTAAAAATGCTACTTTGCTTCACAGAGACTATGCTTCACTTATCTATGATATTAAACTTAAACCAATTATTCCCAAGCCTACTCCAATAATACTCGAACAAAAATCTATTATTATTTTTCTTAAGATTTGACAAATGTTTGCTATAGATAAAAGAATTACATTTCTTAAATTTATCAACAAAATCAAACAAAATCAACAAACTCCTATTGAGAAACCTAAAAACAATCAACAAAACCAAGAACAACAATCAGATAATCAATTTAATGATAATAAACAAGAACAGAAACAGGATCAAAAATATCAACAAAAACAAGAACAAGAATTTAAGCAAAAGCATGATACTTCTAATGATCTTGACTAGTTTTAAAAATATCTAATTACTAAAACTATGAAACTCTATATTAGATTTGACAATATACTCGCATACCAACTATTTGAATTTATTAGACCTCATCTCATTGATGTCTATCTCAGCAAGATTATTAAATCTGCAACTGAATACTTCAAAGAACTTAAATTTATATATTCTTATTTCATCAAAAAAATAGCTAGACTAAGACCTTAATTCCTTATTAACTTTATTCACGAGAATCTTCTTGATATTAACAAAAATATTTTTATTTCTTTTGACATTCTCCACTCTACACTTAAGGACTACTTAAAAAATTTACCAAGACTTTTTTTACTGAACTTAACTACTTCAAGATCCTTTCTTCGTTTTACTCTACTCTATTGCTAACTGAAATCTAGTAGCTCTAAATCTTGCATGACTATATTTTATTCTTAATGAAAAATATACAACTATTAATACAAAAAAATTATGTAAAGATCTAAATATATACCCTATTAGACTTCAACTTTACTATTATATTAGTAAAAATACCCTCAACTAACCATTTTTCAAAGTACAAAATGACAATTCATTTAATATTAACATCTCCTTAAATATACCAAAACATCACTTTCTAAAAACCTTTCAAATTACTTCTCTGAAAAATCATTTACCAGAATTTACAAATAGTTTAACAAGTTCTTTAATATTTACAAATGCCAATTTTCTAAAATTGACAAAAAAAGTTAAAAATTTTATCAAACATCAAATTGCACTCAAATTAGCTAATATATGTAAAGCTCTTCTACCTGAAAAATTCTCTATCATATATATTAGTTTCCTATGAGATCGATTCTAACAATACTTTAAAGCAGCATTATACTATATTCATACTTGTACTATTTAAAGCTATTCTACTCTCCCACTAGAGAAGAAACATAATATTTAGAACTTGTTAGAATTCTACTTCCAACAATCATTTGAGCATTACCCAGCTTCTATCTCTAGCACTCCATCTAAACTCAAGCTTATACAACCTACTCTTTATTCATTCTAATTTAGAAAAGACCAAGCAAACCCTGCAACTTTTCGTAAATACATACCTATCACATTTTTGCACAAACTTGCTCACAAAGCTGAAGCTAAATATATGAAACTCAACAAAATAGATACTGACTATACTCGTAAAAGTTATTATTTCTATTACTATTACCATAAATATCTAACTGCTGTAGCTACTAATGATGAACTTGATAGTTTTTATTCCTATGATATTATTAACAAAATTGTTTCAAATCTTGCAAATACTGATTACCTTGCCTATATACTTACCTATTATTATATTTGTAAATCATATGACAAACTATCTTTATGTGAAGTTCAAAAATACTACAATGAAAAGGCTTATCCTGAAGTCAAAAAAACTATATACTCTAAATTCAAAGTCAACTTTAAAACTCCAAAAATTAAACTGAATCTTTTTTGACCAACACGAGCTATACCTTTCAAAACTTTAATACCTAATGAACAAATACTAAAATTAACTGATAACACAGCATTCCAAACTACTAATACTGTAATCAGCTATATAAACATATTTAAAACCTTTACACCTTCGATAGATGATAATCTATAGAAC